ATTTATTTATAAGTTAAGAAAAATGCATATTCATCTAGACTTTCAAAAAAATTAGAGTTTTAATTTTAAATTATTTTATTTTATTTAATTAAAATTGAATTCAAAAATAATTAAAAAAATTATCTTATTAAATGTTGATATTTATATTTAAAAATTAATTATATTAAAATATATAATGGGTTTCTGAATCTAAATATCAATATTTAATAGAATAAAATTTTAATTTTTAGATATAAATTGAGATTCTAATTATTTTTAAAAATCAAAATTGATATGCATTAATTTCTAAAAAAATCAATTACAAAATTTTACTCTTTTTCGATAAATAACACAAGTTGAATTCCAATAAAAAAGCTAGATGTGACTAAACGAAATCTTATATTTTATTGATTTTTTTTTTTGTTATCTTTTTGATGAATTGATATGTTTATTAATAAGGTTATTTATCTTTTTTCTTTTATTTGAAAAAAAATGTAGTATATGATTTGAAGTACTTCATATATTTTTGATACTTTTTTTTTCAATATCGAACTAACTTTTTTTATTTTTAGCACATTGTTAAAAAAAGGGGAAATTGATCTTATGTACATGGAAACAATAGTCAAAAGCATTAATTAAATAGTGGTTAATTTATTATTAATTTCTAGTAGTGAGTATATACTCTTTTTTTTTTGAAAAGCAAATTTATTAAATGAATACAATGGGTACTCAAACCTGTTTACAAGGTTGATGACCTCAACCACAAGGGGTACTTGACCCATTTACAAGGTTGAAGACCTCAACCGAAAGAGAATTCCGACTAGTAATTACTTGTGTGTATGAAGGAACCTCACTTTTTTCATTTACTGCTCAGACACTCCCTTGGGTTTAGAATCCAGTTAGATATTGAGAATTTCCATTCCTTCCTTCTATTACTTAACCATTGATGAGACTTCATTTGTATAGAATCAAAAATTCTTTCGATATCAATTGACTTGTTATTGAAAACTATTTCATTTCTGCTATTGCAAATGGTCCACGCTGTTGCAAACCACCTAGACTCCCAACCTACCTTTAATGGATCATTAATCATCAACCCTTCGTGTTGCTCAAAGGCCTCCCATACACTACTTTCTATAACAAATTTTAGTTCCCACCATTTATAACAATATGACCAGACCTGGGAAGAAATTCTACAATGCAAAAATAGATGGTTGTTGTCTTCAATACAATCATTGCACAAGGAGCATTTAGTTTCCTGAGATTCTTTTAAAATCCCTCTATTAAGTAAGTTAGCCTTAGTTGGTAATCTATCAATAATTAACTGCCAAACAAAACCACATATTTTGTGAGGGATCACCTGGTTCCAAACCCTTTCATAGATTCTTTTTTGGGTTGAGCTTTTATTACCAACCAATCTTGCGTATCCTGAGCTCAACGTATATCTTCCACTTGAGTTGAATTTCCATCTCCACAAATCTTTTTCTTCTTGTATCAGCTTTATCTTTTGTAGAATGTTGTCTAGCTCCTTTACTTTATCTTGTTCCCATGAGTAAAGCTATCTTCTTCATCGAAGGTTCCACTTCCAGATTCCATCATTCCATCTTCCCATTTGGTTCAGCTTATAGTCTTTGCCTGCAGAGATCAAATAAAGTCTTGGAAACATGTTAGCCAACTCTCCAAACTCCCTCCACTTATCCCTCCAAAAGCTAACACTTCCACCCTCACCTACTATGAATTTGAAACCTTCAGATAGCCATTCATTTCTAGTGTGTTATGCTACATCTAATCTACACACATCATGCCACCAAGTTGACCCTCTCCCCTTGCCCTATCTAACCCAATTTTCCCAATTCTCATCTCCACCACTATATTTTTAAACAATAATTGATAACCACTAACTCTCTTTACCCTTTACCAAACGTCCCCACCATTTACCAAGGAAAGACAAGTTAAACGATTTGAGGTCTTTGGTGCCTAACCCCCTTCTTTTTTATTTTGACAAACCCTCTTCCACTTAACCCAATGAACCTTTTTCCTTTCCCCGCGGCCCCCCCATAAGAAATCCCTCCTAATTTTATCAATAACTTTTAAAATACCTTTTGGGACAAGGTAGACAGACATAAGGAAAATTGGGAGAGCCAAGAGCACAGAGTTGATCAATGTGATTCTTCCTCTAAAGGATAGCCATCTTCCTTTCCAACTCGACAATTTTTTCTGAAATAGCGTAATCAATGGTTGCCACATTTCCAATTTCCTCTGATTTCCCCCAACCATCACCCCTAGATATTTGAACGGCATGTCACCAATCTTGTAGTGCAGCAACTAAGCCATTTTGTTTAACCATTCCTCCTCGACATTCAGTCTGATTAACTGGCTTTTGCTGAAATTAATCTTGAGGCCTGAAGCTAGTTCAAATAACCTCATGATGCACTTAGCAACCCATATGTTATTCTCTGTAGCTCCCCCGAACACAATGGTATCATTAGTGAATTGTATATGAGAAAATCTAACCCCTTTCTACCCTACTTCAATTCCTTCAAACAACCTTTTCTCCACTACTATCTTTAAGATTCCATTTAGTCCTTCCGCAACCACAAGAAAGAGGAATGGAGACAAAGGGTCTCCCTGTTTCAATCCTTTCGACATCCCAAATTGTCTAGAAAGACTCCCATTAATCAAAACTGATAGCATGATAGTCTGCAAACATTCACTAATCCATCCTCACCATTTGTCTCCAAATCTGAGCCTCATCAATATGTAATCTAGGAAACTCCAGCTGACCTTGTCATATGCCTTCTCAAAGTCTATTTTAGCATAAAACTCCTTTTTTTTTCTTCTTTGCTTCATCAATAATCTCATTTGCAAGAACCACCCCTTTCGATAATTGTCTTCCTTTTGAGAAGGCCATCTGTTGCTCACCAATCACCTTTTGAAGTACCACTTTGAGTCAGTTAGCTAAAATCCTTGAAATGATTTTGTACATTGCCCCAGTCAATGATATCGGCATGTACTCTTCAATTTTGTGAGGATTGGACACTTTTGGGATTAAGGTAATAAAGGAAACATTGGCTCCTCTAATTAATTTCCCATTTTGTTGAAACTCTTGAGCAAAACCAATCACGTCCTCCTTAATTTCTTACTAGAATTCCTTGAAGAATCTAAAGTTAAAACCATCTGGCCCTGGAGATTTATTGCATCCACAATCCCATACCGCTTCTTTGATTTCTTCCTCGTTGAATGGTCTAGTAATAGTTGTATTTTGTTCTTTAGATATATTTTCAAATGCCACTCCATCCAAAACAGGTCTTGTGCAGAGATCCTCTTTGAATAATTCTTCAAAGTAATTGGCGATACCTTCCTTAATTTCTTGAACTCCTGTCAATTGAGTATCATGGATCTGCACACTGTTAATCTCCATTCTACGATGTCTACTTTGAATGCTTCGGTGAAAAAATTTTCCATCCTTCAACCAATCCTTTCTTGCCTTTTGCTTAAGCATACCTTCTTGTATTTTCATATTTTCTCGCAATTCTTGTAATTTCCCTTTCCTTTTCATGATTTCTTGCTCTAAAAGTGGCCTCCTTTCTACCTTCACATCCAGATTTGCAATTTCCTCCTTGCACTCTCAGAGTTTCTCATCTATGTGGGACATTTCCTTTTTGCTCCATTCTCTTACTTTAGCCTTAACCATCTTTAGTTTCTCCTTCAATTGATACCCTTTCCAACTTGTAATCTCATTTGATTTCCATGTGTCTATCACCAACTCCTTGAAGCTTAGTTGGTTTAGCCATGCATTGAAGCATTTAAATGGCTTGGGCCCTCAGTTAAGTTTCTCATTTTTCAAAATAATGGGGTAGTGATCGGATAAGGATCTGTTAAGATCCCATTGTTTACAATCTGGCCATGTCATTATCCACTCTTTAGATAACAAAAAATGATCAAGTCTACTCATAGAGCAACCATTAGGGTGGTGCCATGTGAATGTTCTCCCAATTAATGGAAGATCCACCAGTCTTGCTTCACTAATAAACTCTTCGAAGCCTCTCATGATGCTTGTTTGATTGCTACTGCTTTCCCTTTCAAACTGATTTCTTGTTGCATTGAAGTCCCCTAAAAGACACCAATTCCCTTTATTTTCATTAATTAGCATTTGGAGCTCCTCTCATAATTTCCTTTTTCTTGTAGCTTCACATGGACCATAGACATTCACAATATACACTGGAATTTCTTCAAACCCCTCAAAACCAAACACTCCTACAAAATTGGTACCTTTTAACACCCTACACAACTTGAACACTACTTTATTCCATATACATATCAACCCACCTGATTGCCCATTAGAAGGTTTAGCCACAAAATCAAAATCATTAGAGTCCGATAATAATCTACATAATTTTCTATCGATCAACTGTAGCTTTGAGTCTTGTAATGCCAAGAATTTCCTTTCTCCTTTCTAATCAACTCTTTAATATCTCTTTTCTTACCATACCCTCCTAATCCTCTAATATTGTAGGACATTAAATTCATGGGACTAAGTTACTGACATTCTTCCCATTTGTGGCTCCCTTTTGCATTAGCAGCTTTCTGGCTTCTTTGTCCCTTCTCTCTAGTTCTGCAATCCTCTTTACAGTCTCCTTATCGCTACCTCTTGTAGAAATGCCCATTATTTTAGCAAACTTCCAAATTTCGTTTGCCATCGATCCTTGATTACTTTGGATTCCTCCCCTGTTACAGTTGAAGATACCGCTATAAAAAATGGATCCACCTACAACCGGATTCAAGAGATCTAGAATAAAGGTCGGTATTCTCTCTCTCTGATTTTTCTTCAAGTTGGATCTTCCTCTCTTCTTTGTCAGACTATCCTTGTTCGCCACCATGGTGGAATACTGGTACACAGCCATGCATGCTCTTACTTTTTGCCTTTTACTGTTTCTCTTTCTCAAGTTCTTTCTTTCTCCCACTTTCATCCATTCTTGTAATCTACCTAGGTCACTAGCGAGGCCTTTCCAAAATGAATTAACCTCCTCATGCTCTTCAATTGTCTCCTTTGGTGGATCTGATTCATTTTGCTTGTAGTGCCCTTGCTTTGCTGCCTCATCCTTTTCTTAATTCTTGGTGTCCTTCTATTCGAGCTTTGTCTTTCAGAATTGAGTGACACTAGTAGATCTGAGCTTTTATCGCCATTGTCCCTTTTATCCACATTATATTTTATGCACTGCATTTGTTCATCTTTTTCGATCCTTTGGGCACTCACCGACGCAGGTTAGGCATCAATTTGGCCCATTGATTCCTTCTTTCTTCTTATCTCATTTTGGTTTGAATGGGCTTTACCCAAGTTAGTTGGCCTACTTAAAAATTGGGCCTCCTCATCACCTCCGTTTTCGGGTTGCTCTGTCACCTTTGTTCTACTCCTGTCCAATTGTAGACTTCCATTTTCAAAGTTGCTATACTTTTGGATATCCAGCTGTTGAACACTACTTTCTATGTTTCCACAATTAATGATTTTCGGCACCAACTCACAGTTGCCCCTTGCGTCAGAGGACTCTTCCTCCTCATTCTTCTCTTTTCTTCTACTCGTTGCGCCCAATTCCCCATAAATTGGTTGATTTGCAAAATCTTTCTTTTTGCTTCCACACAATTTGAATAAACCTTCTATCTCATCATCAATCCGCCAACCATTGTTTGCCACGTCTTCATCGTCTTCTTCACTAAGCACAATTGTCTTTTTTCCTTTATACTAGAGACCCTGGCTACTGGAACCAATGGTATTCTCCTTCACCCACTCAGAATCCCAAGACCCGTCCTCTACCTCATCTAAAGCATATTGGTATTTTGGGACAAAATCTGATTTTAAAGAGAAGCACCCAGAACTTAATTCTTCCTCCATACAATGGATGCAGTACATATGACCATTGATCATATAGTTAATAGCTTTGGAGATAATTTTGTCTTCTGCTATGGAGATTAAGACTCTAGCAACGTCAAATCTCTTTTTCAGTCTAGTGTTGTCATAAAGAGAAATAAACTTGCCCCACTCACTTGCTATAGAGGAGAAGAATTCTGAACCCCACACATGTAGAGGAACCCCAAAGCATTTAAGCCACACAAGTCTTTCCTTTGCCACCATGGTAGGCATCCACGATTTAACTTCACTAAACCATTGACTTAGCAATTCTTTTGCATTCTCCACAGTCTCTTTAAGCTCCTCCTTATCTTCACCATCCAGTAAAACAAGCTTGTCTCCCATAATTCTTGTTTGGTTAAATACCCTTTTTGGTCCCTCTACTATAAGAAAAAGCCCCTTTTTGGTCCCTGTACCGAAAAAATCCCTTTTTTAGTCCTTACTGTCCATAAATCCGACCCCTTTTTGGTCATTCCGTTAATTTTGGCTGTTAACTTAACTGAAACAGCTGATGTGGATATGCCAACATGTAAAAGATGCTTACGTGGACTCCATGCCATCCTCCATGTAGACTCCACGTCACCCTCCACATGGACTCCACTTCCTCCAGCCATTTTTTTTTCTTTTTTTCCTTTTCCCCCCAGGCGAACCCAGGCTACCCAGGAGCCTGGGTTCTTCATGAACCTGTAAGCTGGGTTCGTTGTACGCTACCCACGATCCTGGGTTCTCCACGAACCCACGAGCTGGGCTTGTCGCAGGTTACCTAGGCTCCTGGGTTCCTTGCAAACCCAAGCTCCTGGGTAGTATGAGTTCGCTTGGGGGGGTAAAAGGAAAAAAAAAAAAAAAAAAAAAGACCGGAGGAAGTGGAGCTCACATGGAGGGTGACGTGGAGTTTACCTGGAGGATGACCTAGAGTCCACGTAAGGATCTTTTAACTGTTGGCATATCCACATCAGCTATTTCAGTTAAGTTAACGTGCCACGTGAGCAAAAATTAACGGAAGGACTAAAAAGGGGCCGGATTTATGAACAATAAGGACTAAAAAAGGGATTTTTTTCGATACAGGGACCAAAAAAGAGCTTTTACCTATAGTAGAGGGACCAAAAAAGGTATTTAACCTTCTTGTTTTAATGGAGAATAATCCTTCCATATATAGTCTTTCTTGGATTATTGGTGCTAGCTCCACTACTCTCATAGTCCCCACATAGCACCCTTCTAACCATTCCCAGTCTTTTATTTTCGGATTGAATTCCATTCCTTTCTGTAT